TACCAACTACCAAGTTCTAGAACTTGGGTAGAAATTCAGTTTTCCTGACATTTATTGTCCTCATATCTAAATTGGCCATTTCCGCTAGTCTCACTACACTTGGACATATCCTCAAACATGTTCCACCTCCATGTCCTCCACCAGCCACCCATCCATGATTCATCCTTGTCCTTCACCTCCCATATCTAATCAATCACCAAATCTGTCAAGTTGACTTCCATCAATATCTATTCAGTTTCCCCTCATTGCCAGCCTTGCACAGATTCACATCATCTTTTGCATGGACTACTCCAAATTTCCTGTTGCCACATTCTTCAAGGGTCAGTTCTGAGAAGCATCATTCTTCACTATGTGTCAGTTGAACACCTGGCTCCTCCTTCATGTTCTTTTTTCATTTTGCTTCTAGCACCTTTCTTCCACGTAAGTCCCTGGTTCTCTTTCTAGTCCTTCTCAATGTCCTTAGTAGCCTGTTTTTTTTTACCAGCCTCTTAAATTTCCATGCTCCTTAGGGGCCACTCCTTAGGTCTCTTATTCTAGCCCCTCTCAGCAGATCCTATTTTTTGCCGACAGCTTCAACTACATTCACATACTGATGCTCACCAACTCTGCTTTCAACCATGCCCCTCATTAACTTTGTGACTGTTTAGTATTTCTACCTAGTGGCCTATAAGCACCTCAAATTCAAGTAGATATGCCCCAAACTGGACTCTCCACCTTCAATCCCCCTGAGACCAACCTCAAACCTACTTCTTTTCTCTATGCATCCCTCAATGTTATCAATCTCAAAGTGATGCGTTCAAATCATCCTTCACCTATCCTTCTCCTTCACACTCCAATCTCAAGTCTTACTGATTCTTCATGTCTTCAAATATCCCATGGTTCTCACCCATTTCCAGTCTGCCACTAGCTATTTTCTTGCTTGGACTACAGTGAGAGCCTACAAATCAATCCTCTTTGCTGCAGTTATTGTGAGCTTTCTAAGCCATCTGCACCTAGTCCAGATGCCTGCATGAGTAGCCACTGGATACATGTTAAACAAGTGATTCAATGCTCTCACTCAATTTAAAATATTGCAATGCTCTCCATCACATATGGCAAGCACTTCACAGCTTTTGCCATTGTACTTTAGATCTTCCCAGCCTCAAATCACTGTCTCCCATAACATCACTATTCCAGGAATAATCAACTATCTACAGTTCTCCAGACAAGCCACCTTCCTATGACACTGACTTTGCACATGCTCTTTCTTCTCTCTGGAATCCCCTTCTCATCTCTACCAGAAAAACGCCTACTTCTCCCTTTAAGATTTTTAGAGAGCCCTAGCTGGCTTGGCTCAGTGGATAGAGCGTCAGCCTGTGGACTGAAGGGTCCCAGGTTCGATTCTGGCCAATGGCACATGCCTGGGTTGCGGGCTCGATCCCCAGTAGGGGTTGTGCAGGAGGCAGCCAATCAATGATTCTCTCTCATCATTGATGTTTCTATCTCTCTCTCCTTCTCCCTTCCTCTCTGAAATCAATAAAGAAATATATATTTTTTTTAAAAAGATTTTTAGAGAAACTTTTGCTGTTCTTCTTTTTCTTCTCCCCCCAACAAAGTTCTCCATAAATAGCATCATTTTTATAATTGAAGTACTTATTTGTACCTAACAATCATACACTGGCCTATAGAGCTGGGGTTGGAGGGCAAGCTGAAAATATTCTCACATTCCTCTTTCATTTTCAGGGAACTCCTCCTTTTTTTTTTAATCCTCACCTGATGATATTTTTCCATTGATTTTTAGAGAGAGGGAAAGACAGAAATATTGATGTGAGAGAAACACATCAATTGGTTGCCTCCTACACGCACCTTGACCAGGGCCTGGGCCAGAGAGGAGCCTGCAACTGAGGTACGTGCCCTTGACCAGAATCGAACACGGGACCCTTCGGTCCGCAGGCCAACATTCTATCCACTGAGCCAAAACTGTGGCTCTTTCCTCCTGGTCATGCCAAGAACTTAAGATAAATCTTCAAGTCCCTGACGTGGTCTCCAGGGCATGGTCATCTTCTCCATCCTAACTTCAGCTATCATGTATTAGTGGCCATGCTGACAGTCCACACCATGGTCCTATGAGTGGCTCTCAGATTCCCCTTTTCTCTGGCTGTAGTGTCAACTATTCAGAACTGCTTCACCTCTAAAATCCTTCTATCCATTATACACAAATGTTACACTCATTTTATCCTTAATCTCAACCCCTTCCCATTCATCCAATTAATCAGTGCCTTAATGATCTGACTTCTCTTACAACCCAGCCCATATCCCAAAGCCACTCTCTGACAATCTCAAATGACCTGCCCTTTAGACGCCCCTATCTTACAAAGATGGATCCTGGCACAATCTGTTTTTTCCCATCCTTCATTCCTGGCAGCTCAGCACTGCTGGAGCAAAGGGAAAAGTTGGCCTCCAGCCGCTGCAACTAATGGTTTCTTATCTCAAACTAGTTTTCAAAGGCATTCCTCAATCTTTTTTCTTGGTTTTGGTCAGTTTTCTCACTCAGTCTTCCTGGTGGTTAATACTAATAAAAATATAAGACATGATCTATGATATTATGAGAAGAAATAAAAAGGCTAAATATGGTAAATGTAATTTAGCTCTAATGCTATATATCCTTCCGGTTCTAAGTCAATTACTTTCATGACACTCAAACTATTACTGCTGTCTTAATTCCTAGAGCTTTTTAGAATTTGAAAAATGAGGTAAAAGATGGACCACTGGGAATAATGGCTGCTTTCAAATCTCTTTATGTCCAAGGTACCCTTTATAGTTATACTTTATCAATGAAACATACACAACTTTTGTGTTCATTTTAATTTATTCTGTGTGATTTAAAGTAACAGTTAAAACATCATATCAACAAACCACAGAGGCTTTAGGTATAGTATTGACCAGTTTTAAAACAAAAACAGTGAATGATCATTCCTCATCTCTAATTTTACATATTATTATACAAAGAACTATTAACACAATTTTAATTCCTTATAAACCTATTTGTCAAGCAGCAAGATGACAATGCGTCATAGCACAGCACAGAATGTCTCCTTTAAGAAACCACAGGAGCAGTATTTGGTGAGTGGTTATGCATAGAACTGACTTGGAGGGTAATATTCAACATTGGCCATAAAACAGGAAGCACATGTACATTAACACATGGAAAATGTAACTTTTATTAAGAAAAAATGTTACTCTTTATGCTGTAAGTTAAAAGCTGTAAGATACTTTAGAAGCAGACAATACAAGGTGCTTTCATTCTAGACTCCATAACAAAATACTATTCCATTAGCTGCTTGAGTCTATAATATTTTAGTACTGTTCATTGGCTTTTTTAAAAAATATATTTTTATTGATTTCAGAGAGAAAGGAAGAGGGAGAGATAGAAACATCAACGATGAGAATCATTGATCGGCTGTCTCCTGCGCGCCCCACACTGAGGATCGAGCCCATAACCCAGGCATGTGCCCTGACCAGGAATGGAACCATGACCTTCTGGTTTATAGGTCAATGCTCAACCACTAAGCCACACCAATCAGGCTTCATTGGCTTTTTAAGTGAACTTCAAATATAAAAGTTTACAGTGAAAATCTAAAGTTACATTGGTTACATGATGTTACATTAAAACATAACTTCAGAAAAACTGACTTCAAAAAATACTATATCACTGACTTAAAATAATTTTTTAAATGTTACTTTTAAAAGTAAAAATGCACTACTTTCAAATCATTTAACCTGTTTTGCTTTAAAATGCCGTATTTGTGAAAACATTATTTAATATATTCTCAACATTCAACAAAGTAACAGTTTGAAGCTGTTTTAAAACCCAGTAATATCTAAAGAAATGGGTCAGCACACCTGTTAATTGGCTATCCTCCAAATTACATATTTATGTTTCCACCATGAAAACAACACTATAAAATCCACTGAATGAATTCTATTTTTAACTGGACATAAATATTAAAAACCTCACTTAATAGTGCTACACAAATATTTAGTGTTTTTTGGCATTTAAGTCAGAGTAATGCTACCAATATATTTGATACCTGAAATTTTCACAAGAGTTTCAGAGGCAGAGAGAAAGACTTGGGAATGGTTAGTTGTGAAGGTAATGAAAACAACTGACCAGTCCTCAATTTTAGAATTACTCCTCAAAAGATGGTATACCTGATCAACAACATTGTTAATGAGTATTTAGACACGATAACACTTGACCACATTTTTAATGCTCAGAACTTCTGAACTTTAAAATTAACCACAGGCTAGTCTATCTTCTACTGAGAAACTGAAAATGCCCTTATGAAGTTCCGCTAAGTTCAGCTACAAAAGCTCTAAAACGGGTTAAAAAACAAACACTATATCACACAAATAATTCTGCTAACAACTATTTCTCTTTCCTCTTTCAGTGGCCTTAGAAATATGTACTATAGTGAGAATATTGGGGGCAGAGGAGTACAGAGGAGAAAAAAGGTTTTAAACAAAGGAATTAGTTTGGAGGATTTTCATATTGGCATCAGTGATTTTACTGTCTTGAGAGTTAAAACATGGTAGGGTGTGAGCTGTTAGTATGCTTTTGACTATATTTCCCCCAAAAATAAAGCAGAACATTTCTTACAATTATTTTTAAAAAGACATTTTTGAAGCATAAATATTAATAATACCAACATATATACCTTTACATGGATTAAATTGTTTAATTTGTGGTGACACTTGTAGGTTTGGGGGGATTACGTCGGCCATCAGTTTTTAATACTGATACAGTATGGAAGCTTGGCCAGCTACTTAAAAGTTGTCAGCAATTATTCTTTAAACCTAAGATATCTATATGTATAAAAGCCTAAGCGACCAGAAAACCAGACAACTGGCTGGCAGCTATGATGCGCACTGACCACCAGGGGGCAGACACTCAACGCAGGAGCTGCCCTCTGGTGGTCACTGCACACCCACAATGGGAGCACCGCTCAGCTGATAAATGGGCGCCAGCCGCTGGGCTCACAGCTGGTGAGTGCAGCTGTGGTGGCGTGAGCCTCTCCTGTGGACACTCCCCCTGCATGCCCAAGTGTGGCCACAGTGGTGGGCTCAGCAGGGCCGGGATGAGCCAGAGCGGCGCAGCGCCCAGCCCGGGCTCAGGCTCCTCCCCTGCCGCCTGCCGCTTCTCACACTACTTCATGCTGTGCAGGATCGATACAGACAGCAAGCTGGAGCCTGACGAGCTGGCAGGTGAGGCAGGGCTGCAGCGGCGCAGAAGTCCACTGATCCCCGCAGGCCAGGCCGAGGGACCCCACCAGTGCACGAATCCATGCACCAAGGCTCTAGTCCACTATAAAGCAGAATCCACAGTTCAAAATACTAGACTATGAAAGATCTAATTGAATCCTCCCAGTACCAAGAAGATTTTTAGGCTTTTTTTTTCCCTAACTGATTATCATTTTAATGCAACATTTAGCTAGTAGGAAGCACTAAAATTAATGCATGAAACTTGTGTCATTGTTTTTAATCCCTACAGTCACATAAAAATAGAAAACGGCATCCAATAAGGAAATGAAAATAGAAAGATTATGCCCCACTCTCAGCTGCTAGGGATCTTTCCCTTTCCATATATACAAAAGGCTACAATGACAACAGAAGTGTGCACCAGGAATATCACTTGGGTCAGAGCAAGTGAACTGTTAATTAACAAAACTGTCAGCATGAAGTATGAGGTACCAAACATAATTACACACCATCATAAAATAGTGGTGACTAGTTCTTTAGAAATGAAGGTTAAACATATAAAAATAACTTGAATTAGTAAAATAAGTTGGCTTTACAATTCACTCTTGTACAAAGCAGGTAACAGTAAACAGAAATGTTCTTTAATCTGTATCTCTTCCCCAGTAAACCCTCAGTCCAAAGTTCAATGAGGACAAACATGCAGACCTGGCAAGTCAGTTTACAGTGAAGCAGGCATTTCCACCCACTCTCCACTTTCCCTCAATCCTGTCTCTGAGATATTGCCACTCAATTGCTATTTGTGAAGAAGTGTTTTCTCCACAACACATGCCTTGAGCATGAAGTCCTTCCATACAAAGGGAGTGACTAATCCTACCTCCCTAAAGTAGAAGACAGTTCTCAGATTCCAAAGCTACTGAAGTCTTGAATAGGTTGCCAAAAAAATGTCTTATAGAGGATAACTATTTTAACATTATAAGAGTTAGAATTAAGTTAGTAATAATTGCTATCCTAGAAAAAAATAAATGTACAAACTATTTCTTATTTAAGCTAAGATACCATCACTTGTCAGATGCACCACATTTATCACTAAGGAAAAAACACAGGCCATCAAATTATGACACAATGCTTTCATATCACGTAGAATGTTTATTTTATATTTACTGAAACAGAACTTTTAGAATTAAACAGACTTTTATCACAGCCTTGTGCATATGTAAGTGTTATGAAATAAACTGGTTAAGTTATACTATAACTTCATACTCTGAGTGCAACTTTTCTGAATCACTTCTTACATCAGTCACTGAAACCTGCCTTCTCCTCACAACGGCCCCCTTGGCGTCATCAAAAGCATTTCTGGAAAAGAGGCTCTACCACTGTCTTCTGCTTAATGACAGCTGGAAGCTTTGGACAAACATGTTTGACACCTTAATGACAATGGTCCTGTCTGACAGGAATCGATCGAACCAGCCTCTCGCTGCTTTGAGTTGTGTTTCATCGATTCCAAGGTTTTGGCAATTTCTCCCACCTTCACTGAAGCACTCAGCGTGTGACAGGCAATCCTTCTGCATGTGTCTCAGTGACAGAATGTCGTACAACTTTACTTGTGGGTGTCTTCCCTTCTTAGGGCCTATAAAGCATTTTGTTGTTGCTTTACAAGAAAATATGGAATTGCAGTCATTCCTCTAGCGACGGATATTTGCTTCGCTACTATCAAATGTATGCCCCACTGCTCTGCTTCCATGCTTGTCTGCATACACAACTTCATTTCAGTGCTGAATCATAGTGAAATCTTTTAGAAGACATTTTTAAGTACCAATTAAATCTGACACATTTGATAGCAATGACACAGTGATGACACTATGACAACCTGTGAACTCACACACACACACACACACAGGCTAGGATAATTACATCAACTATTGCCTGGTTGACAGGAATAGTGAGATGTATCCCAAGTTCAGAAAAGTTAAAATGTGGCAGGGGGAGTACATTATAGAACTAATAAAATACAGTGTTCAAGCCTGTAATGTTTAACAGATTCACAATAGTGCAAAAACAATAAGCCCAAGAGCCAAGGAATAAGTATATAAGTAAAAGCTAGTAAAGCAAAAGATTATCTTTAACATAAAATTTGTAATGGTCCAATTTGGTTTAAATTCCCTTTATGTTCATATGGCTTACATGTAAATCTTTTTTTGAATTGGACTTGAAGTCCAAGTACAAATGCTCTTCAATATTTTAGCAACTGCGAAGACCGAGGATCGCTGCCTTTCATCAGCCACTCCCACAGGATGACGGTGGGGGTCAGTGGCCTTCCTCAGCAGGCACCCTCCTGTGGCGAGCAGATCTGATCCTGTGTGGCGATGAGGAAGTGTCCTCTTCGGTTTCAGACCCTGAAGGTTCATGATCTCCCTCCTGGGATCCTGTGTCTCCCACCAGTTCCCGCAGAAACTTGAATTTCGATAGAAAAAGATGCCACACAAAATACCAACCTAAAGAGAGACAAAAACATTAAGAATAATTATTATATGTTATTAATTGACAGCATTCCAGTTAATTGTGAGGAGTATATTACAAAACATTATTATACATAAAAGTGATTACAAATACACATTTATAAAACAAGTATTTTCTAAGCATTTACTATGGACAAGGCATACAGATAAACTCTGAATTTATAAAGGATGGCAGAAACAGTTTCTACCTTAATAGAATTTAGAATCCAAGCTTAGTCCATCTACATTAAAATTATAATGAGCTTTGATACCTAAGTAAAGGTGTTTATTATATTAAAATAAAATATTTGAGAACATTTTTCTTGGGAAGAAATAATACACTTTGCTATTCACTTGGAAATTCATACCTCAATGCTAATATTGACTAAAAGCAAATTTTCTTCAATGAGAATACAAAAGAAACAGACCTGGCCAGTGTGGCTCAGTTGGAGTATCGTCCCATATGCCAAAAGGATTCGGGTTCAATTCCCAGGCAGGACACGTACAGGAGGAAACCGATTGGTGTTTCTTTCTCATGACCACAAAGGACTTAGAATACAGTGGTTCTCAACCTTCTGGCCCTTTAAATACAGTTCCTCATGTTGTGACCCAACCATAAAATTATTTTCGTTGCTTCCTACCTATAATGTTGCTAATGTTATGAATCGTAATGTAAATATCTGATATGCAGGATGGTCTTAGGCAAGCCCTGTGAAAGGGTCGTTCAACCGCCAAAGGGGTCGCGACCCACAGGTTGAGAACCGCTGACTTAGAATATCACATGGACTTAGTTGACAAAGCAGCAGCATGTTTGAGAGCACTGACTCCAATTTTGAAGTAAATTCTATTGTGGATAAAATGCTATCAAACAGCATCACACTCTAGAGAAATCGTACATGAGAAGAGTCAATTGATGTGGCAAACTCCATTGTTATCTGAGGAAATTGCCACAGCCACCCCAACCTTCAACAACCTCTGCTGTGATCAGTTAGCAGCTATCAACATCGAGGAAAGACCTTCCACCAGTAAAAGATTATGACTTGATGAAGGCTCAAATGATGATTAGCATTTCTTAGCAATAAAGTATTTTACAATTAAGGTATGTACACTGTTTTATTAGATACGAGAGGCCCGGTGCATGAAATTCATGCATGGGGGATGAAGCAGGGGGTCCTCTCAGACCAGCCTGCACCCTCTCCAATCTGAGACCCCTCAGGGGATGTCCTACTGCCAGCAGTCGGACTTCCTCTCACAATCCGGGACCACTGGCTCCTAACCGCTCACCTGCCTGCCTGCCTGATCACCCCTAACTGCCTGGTCACCCCCAACTGCCCCCTCCTGCCAGGCTGGTCACCCCCAACTGCCCCCCCACTGGCCTGGTCGCCCCTAATTCCCCCTCCCACCAGCCTGATTGCCCCTCACTGCCCCCCTCTGCCAGCCTGGTCACC